CAAAATAACAACAAAAAACAAAACAAAAAAAACATTTAAGAAAGAAAAGAAATAAAACCTAAGTGGGAGTATGAGACCTTGAGTGTTCAAGTCCTAGTATCAGCACCCCTTTCCCAAAATTGTTATGTGGACAAATTGTGGTTCTTAGTATTGAAGTTCATAGTATCAGCTAAAAATTCTTAAAATTTTGAGCTGAATATCCATAAGGAATTGAGCCTTTTGATTAGGTTTTTCCTTATATAAAAGCAGCAATAGCACCCACTTTCTGGCACCTTCTTTTCTTGTTAAACTTGATCTTACCAACTCAAAATTGTAAGTAGTGTTTTTAGTGTACTTCATAAATTAGAGAAATCATGTCTTACTAATTCAAGTGCATGGGTTTTTGTGTTCACTTATGTGAAAACTAGCCTAGTTTCCAAGAAATAATGGAAAAATAAAACAAACAAGGAATATAAACAAGGCTAAGGAAGTACTTTTGGCTCTGTGATTACCTCTGAAACATTTAAAAAGTTTTATGGCCATTAGAGTAATTTTTTGTCGAAAGAAAATGTAAGCATATACTGAAAGCCTGGCTAATAACTTGGGGTGTGATGGTAGAAGTGAATCCTGCTTCCTAACCAGCTTTATCTTAATGCAGTCTTCTGTCCTTCCATTATGCAGTTTTCTTTGTTTTTTTTTTTTTGGGTGTTAATGAATAACTTACACGTACTTGGCAGTATGCTAGTGATGTAAGATATAGTGTGTAGTAAAGCATAATGCTCCTTGCTTATTAAAAAGCTATTTCAGAAGGATAGGAAGAAGCCTGTAAACAACTATCTTATAGCAGTCTAGTAAAACACAAAATACATGGGCTGAGAGTCTTAAAACATAGACTTTTTACTTATTTTCTTTTATTTCTAGAGAGTAGGAGGTCCTATGATCTAGGTTCCAGTAGATTTGCTTCTAAATAAGGATCTTTTTTCTGGTGTAAAGATAGCTGTCTTCTCACTGTATTCTTAATGGTAGAGAGAAGTAACTCTTTTTTTTTTTAAAGGAAATTAATGCCACTGCAAGAGGGTGACTTAATATTGTATTCAAACCTAATTACCTCGCCAATTCCCAACTTGGATTTCAACATAAGAATTTTAGGAGATACAATAATTTGGTCTGTGATGTTATGTAATGATTGATATGGTGGTGAAGGACTGTAATGGGGTTTGGAGAAAAGCCATCCTTCTGGAAAAGGCTTTTGGAATTAAATAGTATCTTAACTGATATTTAAAGAATTAATAGGAGCCAACAAATGTAAAGAATGAGAGAGAACACAATATATATAGGAAGGTAGCAATAAAATAAGTTTTAGATGAAGTGTTACATGGCATTGTAGAACCTTTCCTTAGATGCAGCTAGGAAAGGGAAACAGGAAGCCAAGGCAGGTAATTAATAGGGACTTGAACAATGTCAAACTTTAGACTTTATTGAAATTGTAAGAAATCCAACTGGTTGATAATTTCATCTACTTTAATTAACAAACATTGAAATATTTCATACCATCCCATCTGAGATTTTGATACTCTTGTTCTGTTTTTAAAAAAATACTGATACTTAAATTAGTAGTAATTATAAATCTCAGTACTCTTAACAGTTATTTCCAAGTCACATTCTAGAGTCTAGACTTCATTCCACAAACTTTGTATTTCTTTTATGCAAATAAAATGATTATGGTTAAATTGTTGAGCTATGCTTTTTAATTTTTAACATATATTAACATACAGGAATTGTACAAGGGGACCTCATTTTGAAATTTCCATACAAAAATACAGTGTAAACTGAACAAACTCATCCCCTTTATCTCTCACTTTTACCTTCTTCTTTTCTTCTACAACAGGTATCATTGCTCTGTTTTCATACATGGAAATAAACTACTTTGACCACATTTATCCTCATTTAGCCTTTCCATAATCCTTCTCCTCCTGTTTTATTGTCCTATCTGATTTTTAATATGTATTAATTGTATTAATTGTATATTATTTATTTCAGACATGTATATACTATATATTGATTAGAATAACTGATAGCTAGTATAATTTTTTGCCATCTTCATGCATAGTTGTAATATATTTTGAAATAATTTACCCTCAGTGTTTCTTTTTCTGTCCCCATTCAATCTCAGCCTTCTGAGAAGCCAGGATTATAGGTTGTGAGCTTCCCTGCATTGCTAGCTATAATTTTTTTTGTTGTTGAAAAAAGGAATTTTGTTTTTAACTGCAAAAGTCTTGGGTTTCTCATACAATTTACTTGTGAGAATTGGAGATACAGTAAATTCCTTTAAAGTAGACTTTTTATTTCGTTTTTCTCTTTGTTATTTACATATTTCATAGTGGTATTTGGTTATTGCAGAGTCTGTCAATGTATTTAAAACATATTTCAGTAATTAGTAAAAAAATTCTTTAACACTTTCACTTTAGTGTACACAGCAACAGATTTATTCACAGGCTCATAGGTATGAACTTTAGTATCTGCTTCTTTGTTGTTCAGTCATTAAGTGCCTGCCATCATTGATTTTAATATCTTTTTATTTCTTTTCTGAATTTTGCATCACTAGCTTACAAGCTTCATTGTAGTGCTGACTCAAACAATTACACATGTGGTAAGCTTTAGTTGTATGGCATGATGCAAATGATAATTTGAATTTATTTAATAGTTCTTTAAGTAGTAAGTAGAATGTATAACCTATAATAAATTCATATTTTCTAGAAGCTTTAGATTGAAGTCAGATGAGTTTTATGGTACTGTAGGTATAGTGGATCATATAACTACATATTTTAGCTAGAAATTGGAATGGTTGGAGAACTGATAGTATCACATCTGAATTGAATGCTAATTTTATCTGCCCTTGTGCTTAAGTACTTCTAAGCCATTTAATCTCATTTAGTTTTCACAATAGTCCACTTACACAGGAATTTTGATTACTGTTTAGTAGATGGTATAAGAGAGGGTTAGAGAAATAGCTTTACTAAGGTGACATTGTTATGTGAGTGGTATAGTAGAGTCTGAATCTAGGAAGTATTATGAAATCTTTCAAAAAATAAACTAGCTTTTATGTAGCATGTATTTAAACTTTTATATAACTTAAAACATCATAAGTTTCAGTTTTTACTCACAAACAGTCTCTTAGAACTTTTGTGCCTTTTTTCATCAATGAACTAGAAATAGTAGAAGTTGAGGTGGTTTGATACAAAAGTGAAATTAAATTTTAATTAGAGGGAATAGGTCAAAGAATCAGAATTTAGTGGAGGGGTTAGTTACTATAGAGTTCTGTTTTGTTTTTGTTGGTTATGGGGGCTAAACTCTGGGCCTGGGCGCTTTCCCTCAGTTCTTCAGCTCAAGGCTGGCACCCTACCACTTGAGCCATAGTACCACTTCTGGCTTTTTTCTGCTTATGTGATACTGAGAAATTGAACCCAGGGCCTCATGCATGGGAGGCAAGCACTATACAGTTTTATTTTGTGTAGTTACAGAGAAAATTATATCATAGTATTTCAGAGTTTAAGATGATTAATTTTAGAAGACTTAAAGTAGTTCTAAATGAGGTTGTATTGTTTGTATGGGCTTCCATGAAGATGAATTTGTTGACTGTTTGTACTGGATCACATACTTCCTTTATGACTGTTTTTCTGGGTATTTAAAACTTGTTAGATAAGGTTAATACTAGTTTTTCAATAGATATAAAATATTTATAATAATAAATACTATTTAGTAGATGAGGTGATATCATTACTTTTATCATTCTTTATCTTATTATATAGCATTTGTAATAATTTGTCCATATTTATAAGTATCTTTCAATAATGGGAAATGTAATTCTTTTACCTCCTATCTGTTCCTAATCTAATTTTTCTTTTGCTTATTCCTTTTCCAATTACTCTAAATTATCTGTCCTTTTTTATTCTTAACATATTTTGTAATCCAGCTCAATTTGAATACCCATTCTTGAATGTACATCTTCCTTCCTAGAATCTAGTCCTATCTGTAGCACTATCAAGACATGGCCTTTTTCGTTCCCACTGTCTCATCCTAGTATTAGCTTAGAGAGTAAATTCTATACACTAATCAATAAAATTCTTGTTGAATGAAGCAATGAATGAATATGTTCAAATATGTCAAGTTTTAAATAAATGGTTATTTTATTCCTAAATATTTCATTCATTAGACTGAATGGATGTCCAATTTGTCAAAAATAATACTTAAGAATATGTCAACTTCTGTAATTTATAAGATTGGAGGTATGTCTCAGGTTGTAGATTGCCAGACAAGTAAGCAAAAGCTTCAGATTCTGAGTTTTAGTCCTATATGTGACTTGGTCAATACATAGTATAAGAATATCATTCTATTGTTCTCCTTGTACTTTTGTATCCCTTTACATACAGTGGCATTTGCTAAGGACAGTGATAACCTTTGCTCATTTGACATAATGCAACAAGTTATATTTGCTGATAAGTCAATTTTCTTAATTCACGTTTTTACTTCACAAAGTACTTTAGATCTCACATATTTCTCTGTTCAATATTTTTAAAATATTCCTTCCATCATTTCAACAGAGCATACTGTAGGTTATACATATTACATATGTTCTGTATTGACCACCTCTCTCCATTTTTTAGTTGTGTGTCCTGAATTCCATTTAGTATTTACATGCTGTAGTTTGTTATTGTAGATTTGAAAGCACTCTTTTTCATCTTTATGAAAATTGGATTTTTTGGTCATTTTTGAAATTGTATAGCTCTAAAATTTTAGGTCAAAAAAGTATTATGCCTGAAGATTAGAATTTTAAAATCATATTTTATTGTATAGGTGATGTACAGAGGGGTTACAGTTATATAAGTAAGGTTATGGGTACATTTCTTGTTAAATTTCTAATAGTAGCTATGTATTTTTCTTAGTTGTATTTTTGGTATTGTTTATTATGTTATAAGTAACCATTCATACTATTTCTAGTTCTTGTTTCTTTCTGTTTTCAGCTGGTTGGTGGAGAATTTGATTTGGAGATGAACTTTATTATTCAGGATGCTGAAAGTATAACATGTATGACAGAACTTTTGGAACACTGTGATGTAACATGTCAGGCAGAAATATGGAGCATGTTTACAGCCATTCTACGAAAAAGTGTTCGGAATTTACAGACTAGCACAGAAGTTGGGCTAATTGAACAAGTATTGCTGAAAATGAGTGCTGTAGATGACATGATAGCAGGTATGTGACTATCTGATAGGAAAGTATCATTGAACTATTAAAAAACTTGATAGTATTCACAGGTAATATAGATTTGTTGATTTTATCTTAATTTAAAATATGTAGAAATATGTGGGAAATTTGTCTTTTATATTAATGGAACACCTGCAGAATAAAAGAAGAGAAATATAATGATCATATTAGACAAACATACTTACCATATTTGCCTCGCTAAATCTTAAAAAAATATCATTACTGTGCAGTAAGCATTGTGAAGACCATCAGAAAAATATGAAGTATTTTTATGTACTATATAATTAAATCTTTACATAGTTAAAATGTCACAACACATGTTTTAGTTCTGTGTAATGGATGAGCCCTTTACCAAATTATCCCACTTTCATGGTATTCAGTATGCCATGTATGGAATTATGACAGATGACAGGAGGTTCTAAAAGCATGGTGTGTCTTTGGAAGTTTTTATTTTAGCTTATTATTGTTTGGGAGAAACTTCTATATTAAAATGAGCACTATTATGGAATAGAACATAAATTTTGCACGAAATTTCAGATAAAATGTTATGTTTTCTTGGTTAATAGTTTATTTCCAATAACAACTTTGAGATCTGCGATTTGTCATCACCAACCCTTTGTCTTTCACACCAATGTCTTTCTGTGGTTACATACAGTTCAGTGGGAATATGTTTAATGATGATCCTCGAGCAGCAGTTAACTCAAGAAATAAATAATTGTACCTGATACTTAAGAAATAGATGAACTCTTGAAATTATTAAAAATTATATCAAAAGCTACTTATGCTGAGATTCTCAATTTATAAAAGTCAACATTTTAATATATGAACTTATTTTCTGATGAGTCATATTTTTTTCTTTATGAGTATAAGATCATTTCTAATTGCTTTCACAGTGGCAGATAGCTCTATTGAACATGCTTTGGCATTCTTTATCATGGTTAGTAGTAGATAATATTTTGATGAAAAACGAGACTCAGACTTAAATTTTTAAGTATCTTTTTGATAATTCTGTAGCTACTGTAGTCTCCCCTGTCATAAAGTGGATGCCACTTTGCACTAACCTGGTACAGTTTAGAAAAGAATACAGAATTACATGCCTATTTTAATTACTAGAATTAATTCCTGAGAATTGGGATTTAATGACAGTGAGTATAGTAACAAAAATTCATATTTTGACATTTTTTACACTATGCAGCTCCCTACTTCTTTTATTCTTTCTGTGTAGTATTGGTAGTGGTAACAGAATTTTTTCTTTTTGTTAATTTAAACATTTCCTTCCCAAAGAGCCTGATGGTAGAAGAATCTGTAAAAAGAGAATGAGCATCAGAAAACAATCTGTACCTTAATTTTATTTTAGAGAATTCAACATTTACATGTCATACTAAAATTTGAATACCAAGACACTACTAAGTTTTCATCTCTTTACTAAAGTATGTTAAGTTCAGAGAGGCACTTTTAATTTAATGCCGTAGACTTATTACTATAAGACAGTTAAATATTTAATCGATCAGGATTTCATAGTTACAATATTTATTTATATTAAAAAAATCTTGTCCAAGCTGTTTGCTGGTGGATCATACCTATAATCTTTGCCACTCAGGAGGCTGAGATCTAATGTTGCAGTTCAAAACTAGCCGTGGCAGCAAAGTCTGTGAAACTTTTATCTCCAATTACCCACCTGAAAACCGGAAGTGAAGCTGTGAATCAGAGTGATAGAGGTCTAGCCCTGAGCACAAAAACTAAGGCACAGAGCTCAGGCCCCAAGTTCTAGTCTTATGATTGACCCTGTCTCCTCAAAAAAAAATCTTGTATATGTTTTCATGTACAATGAAAATATAAGGAATTAAAAATTTGAAATTACAAATTTCTCACTTTTTGTCACATATATTCTACATGTTACATATAGAAACTTGGCTTTTTAAAAAAGTATCCTCATATAAGTATTTAAGGAATTTTTGATGATGGTTGCTATTTCACTAATTGCTTAGTCTTAATTTTTATCTAAAATTCTTATAAATAATATCAAAATTTGTATTTACTACATTTTCATACAGTTTTATTACTGAAGTGATCAAATATTTTGTTTCATTAAAAGATCATATTCAATTGTGCACAACATAGAGATCATTTTCTTGTTTTGGTATTAAGGATCAATTAATTATTTATTGTTTTAAAAACAATACCTAAAAATGTCAAAATAACTTGTGACATTAGATAATAAAAATCTTATAACAACTTATTATTTCACATTACCCCTATCTAACTTTACGTATGTGTGCATTTTAAGTATATTATATGTGTACATTGGTTTGTATTAACATGTATAGTATATTTAATTCCTAGTGCTTTAGAAAGTAGAGAAATGAAGTATAAATATTTACATGTTTAATTTCTTATAAATAATATAGAACAAGATATTAATCACAGTGTATAGAGAAAGTGACTAGAGGACAAGAGATTAAATGTTTTTTTTTTTTAGTATTTGGTGAGCTGATGTTTTCAGTATGTATACAGAAAATATTCAAATTTGTATAATGGATATTTCTAGTAATGTATTAAATCATACTTCTCCTTATAGATTAATGGGTAATAATGGGAGTTCTGGAGCCATATTGCCTGTTTGAATATTGACTTTACTGCTTGCTCTGTTTTTGTTTTTGGACAATTTGATTAAAATATGTGTCACAATTTACTCATTTTTAAAAGAGGATATTTATGGTATTTAAGTTTATTATGAGGATTTATGACTTTGACACATACTGATCACTTAGAATAATGCCTAATATGTTAATACTATTTTGAGTATTCAAAATAGTTTCTAAGCTGAGGGATATTTTAAAGAGCATATTCTATTAAGACCAGATAATTATGATAAAAATTTCAAGTTTCAGCTTTTCACTTGAAAATAACAATTTGTAGTATTATCTTTTTGTCTCTTTCAATATTTTAGTTTGAACTTTTTTGCATAATGTGTCTGGAAACTCTTAATTGGAATTACAATTCAAAAGGACATTTAGATTTTATGTATATATATATGATATATATGTAGGTATATATATGATATATATGTAGGTATATATATATATGATATATATATATGTAGGTATATAATATATATGTAGGTATATGATATATATGTAGGTATATATGATATATATGTAGGTATATATATATCATATATATATATATATGGCACTTGATAATATTGGCTTCTTAAAAATGTTTATAGCTTGTCATATACTATTCTTTAATAGAGTAGAGAATAACTTTATTTTCCTTTGAAGATCTTCTAGTTGATATGTTGGGGGTTCTTGCCAGCTACAGCATCACTGTTAAGGAGTTGAAGCTTTTGTTCAGCATGCTTCGAGGAGAGAGTGGAATATGGGTAAGCTATGTTCAGAAGGAGAAGAATCAGTATCAGTGAATTCATTCTTAAAATTTCAGCAGTTTGTCTCTAGAGAGCTATATATTGAATTGGTAGAGGAGTTTATTTTCTTTTTAAACCATTAAGTAAATAATTAATTTTTTTCTAGTTAGAAAACAGTCCAGTGATTATAAAGTGTTATGTTAAATATTATTTGTATATTTTTATGATGACATTTTTTTCTTTCGTTATTTTCTTAGCCAAGACATGCAGTTAAATTATTGTCGGTTCTTAATCAGATGCCACAAAGACATGGCCCTGATACTTTTTTCAATTTCCCTGGTTGCAGTGCTGCGGTAAGTTTTAATTCCATGTGTTAATATTATAATTGCTTTTGACCTTTATGTCAGACAGCTTCTATCCCTTTTCACCTCTGATTTATTTTGTTTTCCTATAGTTTTTGTAGATAATCATGTAAGTAAAATTATATGCTATATAGTATATTGCTACTCTTTTTGAGACAAGGTCTGCTTTGTAACTCAGGCTGTCTTCCTAGCTCAGTCTTTTATGCTTTTCTTCCTCCACTTATGATAACCCTTTTGAGATTGTCCCCAATTATAGCTTTTATCAGTACTTTATTCTGAATAGTATTGCATTTTATGGCTATATCTTATTATTCATCTGCTAGTTAGTAGACATTTGGGATTTTAGGTTTCAGCTATTGTAAATAAAGCTGCAGTGAACATTTAATGTACATTTCTTCCTGTGGACATAAGTTTTCTTATCTTTTGGTTAAAAAGCTGAATGACATTGCTGAGTTTTATTGAGAATATATTTACTTTCATGAGAAACTGTCAAATTATTCTTTATCAGGTTTTACATTTCCATCAACAGTGTGAGTCTCAGTTGAGTTGTATCCTGGACAGTGGCAGTCTTTTTTTTTTTTTTTTTTTTTTTACTGATTATGTAGTGGTACTTCATTGTAGTTTTATAGTTTTGTCATAACTTAGGATGTTAAGTATTTTTCATGTGTTTATTGTTCATTGTAATTGTCTCTTTTTTTTGCAATTTTTGTATTCCAATCTTCTGCCAAGGCCAGTACAAAATGGTTATGTCTTTAAGGTACCTTAAGAGTTTATTCAACACATTTGTCAAATAATTTCTTCCTATCTATGATATATCTATTATTTTAACATTATTTCTTCAACTATAACAGATTTTACTGGTAAAATCTAATTAAAATTAATTCTTTCTCTTATGGAATGTGCTTTTATATCCTAAGAAATCAATATTAAACCTAAGTCACAACTTTGTGTTTTTAATGTGTTTATTAGCAATTCTTAGTTTTAGCACTTATATTTAGTTCTGTTTCCTTTGTGTTACTTATATTCACATTTTGTGTGATAAAGTTGGAGGTTAAATTTTATTTGTTTGCATATCCAGTTTTTGCAATACCTATCTATTGAAGAGACAGTTCTTTTCACTTCAAGTTACTGGATACCTTTCCTCAAATTAATTGAATTTAGATTGATCTAGTTTTTCGCATTGCCCTGTATTTCTATCCTTATGCCAAAGTCATATTTTATTTCTTATTGTGGCTGTGCAATTAGGTAGTATAAATACTTAAACTTTACTTTTAACTTAAAATAGTTTTGGTTATTGTAGGATGGCTGCCATTGTATACATTGTTGGATGAACTCATTCAATTTTGTTAAAAAATCCGGCTGAGATTTTGATTGTGTTAAGTCTAGAACAATTTAGAAAACATAGTTTACCTTAACATTATTGAATCTCCCAGTTTTTGAACACATAGTTTAATTTTATTTAGGTTTTTCAGTGTTTTTTAGTTTTCAACATAAAACTTGAAGGGCAGATCATCTCAACTTATTTTTTCTACTTCTTTGTTTATCTCACTATTTGATTTTTAATTTAGGGCTATGTAGTCCTGAATATTGAGACTGTTTATGTATACAGTTTCAAGGCAATTGATTGGGAGTTATGAGTGTGCAGCAATGGAGGAAAAGGATGTTTTGGTGTACACCAGTAATAGTGCTGTAAGCAGCCACTTTTGTTGATGTAACATTGATAGTGTTCTTTACAAAAGGCTGAAAAAAAATCTAAACATATGCCAATGTATCTCATGTATGGAAAAGGTAGCATATTCATTAGATGGTATACATAATCCCATATATTCATTTTGCTACTTAATGTCCTCAGTATTTTTCCTATTCATGTTAATACTCAAATGAGGTCGCGTTAATGCTCAAATGAGGTTAGTATTAATTACAATCTTATAGAAGTACCACTGGTAAATGTGGAAAGAAAAGAGAAACCAAGCTAGGATGAACTCCAGGGAAGCTTGAAAGATGAGAGGAATATTAGCCTGGAATTAAGGAATTATGGGGTCTTTTTTGAAAGGAGAATGTTTTGGACAGAAGCAGTGTCTTCTACGAAATGGGAATCTTTTAAGTTAATAGGTGGAACAACTGTTATATTAGGTATACTTTGAGTATACGGTAAGATAGTAGAAGAGAAGAAAATTGAAATAGGTGGAGTCATAGTATGTATGAAGTATTATACAACCTGAGTAAATTTAAATTTTATTCTATATTGAGACAAATTTTAATGTATGGAAGCTTTGTAATATTTTAGAAAGGCCATTATTAACTATATTAAGGATGTGCTTATGGAAAAGATCAATTATAAAATCATAATAGGTATATATATATTTTTTTTTGGGTCCGGTCGTGGGCCTGAACTCTGGGCCTGGGCACTGTCCCTCAGCTCTTCAGCTCAAGGCTAGCGCTCTACCACTTGAGCCACAGCGCCACTTGCGGCTTTTTTTTCTTTTTGCTTATGTGGTACTGAGGAATCAAACCCAGGGCCTCAGGCATGCAAGGCAAGCGCTCTACCACTGAGCCACGATCCCAGCTCCAATAGGTATATTTTTGTAAAGAAATTTGGATATCTTTATAAAAAGATAAATCACTCAGATGTTTCTTGAAAGTGAAATAATCAAGTATATTCTTACTCCTTGGAATAATCAGATCTCACTTTACTGTTATTACCAGCTAAATTCTGTATTATTGCTCTTCTACTGATAAGAGGAATTTGAATATTTTGGGCCTTAAATTTCAGTGGTTAAGTTTCTGAATAACTAACACTATGATTTCCTCTTTTTTATTTCAGTGTTAAGAGAGTTACAAATATTATCAACTGTATTTCAGCACTGATTTGATTAATATTCTCTACCACAGTTTAGGGCTACAAAGACTTAACAATCTTTAAGCGAGAGAAATATTTCTAAAAAGTAGCAATAGTCATACAAAATTAAAAAATATGAGGCATATGTATAAGACATTGAGTATTGATGAAATTGGAGGGGACTTAGGAAAATAGTCTGCAAACCACTGTGTAATCTAGAAATGAAATTTTTTTAATTTAATTTAATTTTATTTGTGAACATACTGTATGAAATTTAATTTGATAACTGTAATTGTAAACTTTATTTAGTCAACAAGCAGTATGTAATAGAATATTTAAATAAGTTAATGGTTTCTATTTTCTTTTCTTTTTTTTTGGTCGGTCGTGGGGCTTGAACTCTGGGCCTGGGCGCTGTCCCTCAGCTCTTCAGCTCAAGGCAAGCGCTCTACCACTTGAGCTACAGCACCACTTCCGGTTTTCTGGTGGTTTTTATTGGAGATAGGAGTCTCACGGTCTCTCCTGCCCGGGCTGGCTTTGAACTGCAATCCTCAGATCTCAGCCTCCTGAGTAGCTAGTATTACAGGCATGAGCCACCAGCGCCTGGCTTCTATTTTCTATTAATCAATTTCTGACTATTTTCTTAATCTGTGAATGCAAGATTTGAACTTAGTGACTTCATATTTTCTTTAGCTGATACTTTTTTTTCATTGCTTTGTAGGCAATTGCATTGCCTCCTATCGCAAAATGGCCTTATCAGAATGGCTTTACGCTGAACACTTGGTTCCGAATGGATCCATTAAATAACATTAATGTTGATAAGGATAAACCTTATCTTTATTGGTGAGTAGTCTGGTTACTTTTGGGACTTTGTCTTTTAAGTAATTTTATTTTATTTTATTACTCTACAGTATGGTCTCAAGACTACTATATATTAGAATATATATTATGAAAGTTTATAAATTTTATTTACTTACTCATTTTACTATTGTGATTAGGTAATTTTTCTTACTTTGTTCCTCCCGATTATAGTGTAAGACTGAGTGTTACAGGCTTTTCTTTTCTAGTTTGCTTCAATCTATACCACTTGTAGGATGCTGAATATTGTGGATGACTGAGGTAGGAGAGACAAAAATCTCCCTCTAGAGTTCATCTATTTTGCCTTTTCAGTTATTAACATATTTAAGCAAAAATAATAGCTATGTGTAAAACTATAACCAAGTGAGTATTTTTGTTTTTGTCAGTCGTGGGGCTTGAACTCTGGACTTGGTGCCATCCCTGCACTCTTCAGGTCAAGGCAAGTGCTCCACTGCTTGACCACAGCACCACTTCCGGTTTTCTAGTGTTTTATTGGAGATAAGAGTTTCACTGACTTTCTTGCCTGGGCTGGCTTTGAACCATGATCCTCAGATCTCAGCCTCCTGAGTAGCTAGGATTACAGACTTGAGCCACAGGTGCCTGGCTCAAGTGAGATATTTAATAGTCATTTAAAATTTATGATTAAAATATATTCTTTTAGCTAAATTAAATGCTTTAGCTTTTTAGTTTAGTTTTTCTTTTAGTTGATTAGCTACATGCCCTAACTTTTTAAATTTGTAAACTATTTTAAAAGGTCAAGCAGGATGAGAGATCAAGTAGTTATTGAAAATATTAACTATATGTAAGTAACTTTTGCACTTATTAATTAAAAACAAAGGAGGAGGCAACAATGCTTGATAAGAAATGTACTCATTACCTTGCTCATGTAACTGTAACTCCTCTGTACAGTATTTTCACAATAAAAAACTTGCTAAAAAAAAAGATGGTCCCCAGGGTATGTTTACTTGATAGATTTTTATTGATCATTAATTTTGATATATTCCTGATATTTAATGTAAAATATTAAAAACTTCTGTGTTCTCATTTAAATTCCTTACCTTTCAGTTTCATAAACTAGTCTATAGAGAATTAAGGTATTTAAATTAATCTGTAGAAAATTAAGTTGTATACTCCACAGAGAATTAAGTTTCTTTTTGAATAAAATATTATTTAATTGGTAGTAAGTATTTTCTTTTTATAAAAGATTGTTGTGTTATTCTCGTATTCATTACAGTTTTCGAACCAGCAAAGGTGTTGGCTATTCTGCTCATTTTGTTGGCAACTGCTTAATAGTCACATCACTGAAGTCCAAAGGAAAAGGTTTTCAGCACTGTGTGAAATATGATTTTCAGCCACGAAAGGTATGTTGAGAGAATTACTTCTGTTGAGAATGATAGAAGTCACCATTTTCTTTGTCTTATTATGGTTTCTGTCTTATTCTCTTTCTTTTCTTTTTTTTATTTAGTTTTATTGTCAAAGTGATGTACAGAGGGGTTACAGTTACATACGTAAGGTAGTGAGTACATTTCTTGTCAAACTTGTTACCCCTTCCCTCATTATTTTCCCAGTTTATCTCCTCCAGACCCTTTACCAAGCTGTACAGTTCATTTCCAACATATTTTCTTGTGAGTATCGCTGTTACATTGGTTCACCCTTTGTCCTTTGTCTCACCATTTTGTTGTTCCTCTCCCCATCCCTAATTCAGCTAAATGTATATACAATACCCAGAGAACCAAAATCAAGTACAGTGACAACAGCGGATAAACCACAGGAATAAAAAAAGTGAAAGAACAAAGAAATCACATAGTACGTTAAAAACTAACAACAAAGAAAAACCTCTTGTTCCATATCTTGGAGTTCATTTTGCTTAGCATCATCTTATATGGTCACATGTAGCATAGATTTCATTGTTTCCCTCATTTGTAATAATTAGTATATGTCTAGGATAGTCCTAGAAGAGGATCACAATAGCTCTCACTTTTTTCTATGACTTTTAATGTTTTTTTTTTGTTCTCTTATCTGCCTTTACTTTTTTTTCTATTTCTGACTTCCATCTTCTGAAAGATTTGTCTTCTGTAAGATTTGTGTTTTGATCTCTGTATTGTCTCCCTCATACTCTTAATTCTTTCTCACTATGACCTGTTCTGTGACATTTTTCAGTAAGTGCTTATTGAATATTTACTGATTGAGTCAAATAGAAAAATCCTTACTTTATATCTTACTCAGGAGTTTTATCTAATCTCATGGTATTCTAATCATATTTTTATTTTCAGAGCTCTACTTTTTTTTGAGTAGCTGCCATCAAGATGTCTTTCTGGCCTGTGTACTTCAGAATATGTAACACTGAATTTACTGTCTATAGTCTCATATCTACTTGTGTTCTGAAATCCACTGCTTCAGAGTTCTACCATCTTGTAACAATTGAGACTTGGTCAGCTTTGCTCTTAACCTTTGTTTGATTAATATATTAGATCAATTTTTTAGTTGCACATAGGAAATACATCTCTCTTTTTTAAGAATATCTTTGCTGCCTTGACTCTTCACATTGTTGTTTTTTCATCTTGATGATTTGTCTCTTATTTCAAACATTTTACATACAAAGGTATAAAATATGAATCTTGGAACAAAAATTCCTTTTGTTTCTGAAGGACTAAGGTATGTTTTATAAATAACTTATATAAAGCAGTTATTTCCCAGTAAAATGAGATTCGTGACGTGTTAGTTAATTAATTGATAGAAGAAGGCATGGGTCTTAGTATGTTAAGTGCTTTTTTGATAGGCAAGGATGCCAAGAACTTTGCGAACAGGATGAAAAGGAGTCATGACTATATATAAAGTACAAATGGTTTGAGATGTTACTAAAGTTTACCAGCCATTTTTTCTGGACACAGTAAGACATTTTTCAAAAGTGAGCCAGTTTTTGGTGTTTTAGTAGAGAATTGGAGAATTATTCATGAACATTAAAAAAGATCTTGTGCTTTTTTGAAAAAGTATTTTTTGCAAATTTTGTGGGAAATTCAGTTACTTAGAATGTCCAGTGCTGATAGAATCTCTTAAATCTTCATTTGGATCATCCATTTTAATACGTAGTATAATTTATTCTGAATGTAGTTATATTTCATATGTGTAATATGTAAGTTTGATATATATTATATATAGAATATATAACAATCACGATGTTTTAATCTATTAAAGTAATAAACTATTTTAATCATTATAGAAGAAGATATTGCAAAGATATATGTTCATATGTAAGCCTAATTTTCTTTGCTTGTATTTTAAGAATAATAAGATAGACATTTGAAGAAATGGTAATAATAATTTGTTCATTTTCTCCTTTCCTTATTTCTTTGCCTCTCCCATTTTTGTACTACTTTATTTACCTCTTCCTTCTCTTTTTTGTTCTTCCTAATTATCTTTCTTCTAACCTTCCTTTTCTTTTTCTTCCTCTAAACTTGAGCATTTTTTTTGTTTAATCAGAACCAGTTTTAGATTTGAGTTGTAGAATTCTTGTGTGTATGTGTGTGTATATGAGTGTGTAGTGTATATGATATAGATAAATAACTCTTTAATAAAGGGCAACCTTTTAACTCCCTGATTTAATAGTGCAGAAAGATTTCTTAGGAGAGATTCCTGTAACCTGTAATCTAGTAATTTTGAATTTTGTTTCCTGAGATTGAAGGCTTTGACATTGTATTTTTGTGGGTCATAGGGCTTGAACTCAGGGCCTGAGCACTTTCCTTGAGCTCTTTTTGCTCAAAGCTAGCATTCTGACACTTTGAGTCAAGGTGCCACTTTTGATTTTCCTGCCTGGGCTGACTTTGAACTGTGATCCTCAGATCTCAGTTTCCTGAGAATACAGGTGTGAGCCACCAGCACCTGCCTGGATTTGGTAATTTCTACTTACTCAAATAATCATAGCTTCAGTGTTATTCACTGTAACTGGTATGACTCAAGAAATAATGTCTTTGCTTAATAATTAAAGACATTTAATATCATTTTCATTTAATATTAGTTAATATATCTCTTAATGGAGTCCAGGTTGAAGCATGTTTTGAAAACTATTATAAAGCTAAAAGATGAAAAAAATTAGAGAAACATGTACCTGTATTGTTTAGATTTATAAGGTAAAATACTTTCCTCAGCTGGGGTTTTCAGCAGAGATAAGAATATAGGCGTTCCCATTTCTATATGTCTAAAGACTAGCTCACTATCCAGGTTCAAGTTTAACTTGGGGGCATATGGTAGTGAAATTGTTAGTCTTTCTCAGAAGAGATTACCTTTTACCAACAGGAATAATGTTTGAGTACTTTTCTATATAAATTTATCAATAAATACAAGACATCTACTATTTATCATAAATCTGTGTATATGTAGAAATTTTTGCTTAAATGGGCACTCATATATTCTATTTAGAAATTAAAAGTTTTCTTGAAAATATTAAAAATTGTGTGTTCTTTGTTACCTAGGCAGCATAAATTATATATGCAATTTTGATTCTGTTATATGCATAAACATTTGTTTTGTGATAATGGGGTTTGAAGTTGTACTTGACAGTCAGGTACTTGATCACTTGAGTGGGTCTTTTTGACCTCATCTTTTTTTAAAATTTTAAGTATATGTTTTTTATTGTACAGAGGAGTTAAAGTTACATGAGCAAGGTAATGAGTCCATTTCCTATCAAGCATTATGACTTTTTCTTAATTTTTGAATACTACCTTGATTTTTGATCAGACTGACCTGGACCACAATCTCCATATTTCTACTTCCCATGCAGCTAGGAAGACAAGTGTGCACCACTACACGTAGATTTTTATTGGTTAAGATAGGGTCTTGGATACTTTTTGTTTGAGCCTGGCATTAAACTTCAGTCCTCCAAAACTGAGCTTTTCAGGTAGTTTAGAATCACATGCAGAACCACTGGGCTAACCTAAAAATATTCTTAATTTATTTGAAGTGCAGTGTTCATGGCTTCTTCCTGACAACTTGGTAATATTTAGAAACATAATTGTTAAGTGACCCCTTTACATGTTTCCTCTTTAGATTTCAATTATAGCCCACTTACCTGTGATTTTCTGATCAAGTGAAAGACACAGTTTGCAATAACTTAAAGATTACTTAAGAGGATACATGTTTTTGGTATTTAAATAGCTAAACTGACCTTTTTAATAATTGAGGTACACAGATGTTCTTGTTGAGTGTCAGTGAACTATTTTCTAAATAGGAATTAATGAAATAAGCAATATTTTAGAAATCCCTAATTACTATTATGGTTTTAATTGGTCAAATAAAAATAGAATAATTAAGTGTCATGTGTAATCTGTGGAATAATATGTATTTCTTTTAATTGTATGTGGGGGAGAGCTAGTCTAATTTAACTTCCAATGGCATGCTTAGTCAAGTATTGTAAATTATCCTTATTGTTTTGTACTTTAGAAAGCTACTTCGATGTTATTAGATTCTTATATGTGGAAAACTTAAGAATATGTAGATTATTACAAAATTTGCATCATTTTATATCAACATTAACACTTAAATTGCTTTTGTTGACAGTATTAAATATAAAATGTCAACTTAAAGTGAACTCAGTGGTTGTTAATAAATATTCATTCATTATTAACTTAAAGTATCTAAATTAGTGGATTTAATAAATTTAGTTGTAGAAATGAAAGCACACAAATCCTGTTATAAATGTTAAAGTGGAAGCCTAGTTTATTCTTTCCCAGCTTATTCTGTTCTTTTATTCTTAATTACAATCATGTTGATTTGTTATTCTTTTATCTGTTTGGCTCATGCATGTCCATTTGGCTAGATCATATATTTCAGGAAAACTGGGCCTGTGGTCTCTCTGGTCAGCCTTGGGCATTTGAAGTGCCTGGCACACAAATGTTACTAAATGAAGGACACAAATGTAGTTGTTCTTGCCACATTATGGCATGGTAGGAAAGAATTATCAGTTTTGTTACTAAATGAAGAACACAAATGTAATTGTTTTTGCCACATTATGTCATAGTAGAAAAGGATGATTAGTTTTGGGAGGAAGGGGTGTATCTCTGATTTATTCATTATATACCATACTTTTATCTTAAAGAAAAGAAATGGAAGAAGGAACATCAGAAAATGCTAATAAATGATCAGTTATCGTTTTTCAAGCATTCTTTTATAGGGTTTTTATAAAGTTTATGGTTGCATCTTAGGCAATAATAGCTCAACATTATATACTAATATTTTAATTATTTTTATTTCAGTGGTATATGATCAGCATTGTCCACATTTACAATCGATGGAGGAACAGTGAAATTAGGTGTTATGTTAATGGACAGCTGGTATCCTATGGTGATATGGCTTGGCATGTTAACACAAATGATGTAAGTTTCTTAATTTAAAGATCTATGTTCTAGTGAATTTAAGTATATGGTTTATTTCTGTCTCATGCATTAAATGAATAATCTGATAGAAATGTAAATTTATTTTCAAAGTTTATTTAACAAGTGAAAAGTTTAAGTCTTAAATCTAGTGTAGTAAAACTGTTATAATTACATGACTAGCTGGGCACTGATACTCACACCTGTAACAAAACTGTACATTGGTACTTCACACCTCACTCCTAGCTACTCAGGAAGCTCAGATCAGTGTATCATTGGTTCAAAACCAGTCCAGTAGGAAAGTCCTTAAAACATTTTATCTCCAATTACCACCAAAAAGCCAGAAATGGAGCTCTGACTTAAGTGGTTGAACACTAATCTTGAGCAAATAAGCTTAGGAACAGTAGGCCATGAGTTCAAGCTCCAGAACCAGCACCCTACTGCCCACCCCCCCAAAAAAAAACTTAGATTTGTGAAGTATTTATGATAATTCTTCAAAAAGTGGAGAAGTCTAGGCAAAAACACATAATTTATGTCATAATATCTTTAGGTTCCATACTTTAAATTATAGGTTAAATTATAATTGTTTAATAAGGAATTCTTATTTTGTACTCCATGCCTCCCTGTTTTTGTTATTTTTTTAAATTTTGTATCTGTCTGTCTGAATGTATGTATATATGTATGTGTGTGTATACTTATACACACACACACATATATATATCTTTCTGTCACTTGATATATGTGTTTATCACAATTTAGGTACAATATCCTGTGAATATGGAGAGAACTAGGAAGTGACTGATTTTGTTATGAAGATGGGTAGGGTTTTAAGGTTTAGAAAGAGTTTTCCTAAGCGTGGCTTCCTAGATGTTTGATCCTCATGATGGAAACAATTGTAATCTCTATGTAAGGCAGCAGGTTAAGTGATCTTTGTTTATTTAATGCTGTATAATGCCTTCGTACAGCATGTATAATGTATCCATGATGGAAAAGTGACATAGAATTTAAAAATTTTGCTCTTTATTTATAGCTAATAGTTGAATGGAATTTCTTTAATTTAAATAAGTGTTAAATGTGAACAATTATGAATCATTAGTTATGCTTTCATAAAATAAGTTTTGATTTCATAGAATAATTACAGGCCCATTGCCTTTAATTAGAAAGTTTAGAAAGTAGTTATGTCTAAAAATAGATGGTTATTTGTTTGCCCAACTTTAAATGTAAATCATTTAACTGATTTTATTTTCTCTACAAATATTTTATATTTTATTGACTCTTCTTATTTACATATTCCATGTCTTAATTGATGTTTTCTTCTGTTATTTCTATGTTTATTTCTATGTGTTCTTATAATGATGAGAACAGGTATCCTTAAGTATTCTGTCACTACAAAATAATAATTTATTTTTGTGTGATTTTTTTTTAAATAGAGCTATGACAAGTGCTTTCTTGGATCTTCAGAAACTGCTGATGCAAATAGGGTATTCTGTGGGCAACTGGGTGCTGTGTATGTATTCAGTGAAGCACTCAACCCTGCACAGATATTTGCAATTCATCAGTTAGGACCTGGTTATAAGGTAAGAATAACTATCTTATTATAGCTTCTGTGTAAATTTTTATTTGTCAGTGTCGTTTAGCATATTATAATATTTAGTGAAAATCTTTATTGTGGTTTAAAACTCTTCTCTATTCTTGAAACTCATTCTAAAAGTGTATTTTTAAACTATTTTATGACCTATTTAATTCTTCAGAATGTTTTCTAACATAATTGACTTTTGCTATCAATTCTGAAAAATAATTTTTTTGTTAAAACTGTATTGTTTCTGGTGTATTTGTACAAAGCTTCTAAGTCCAGCACTGAAGCAAGGTGAGGCGGGAAGGTTGAGCTCATAGTTAGCTAGTGCTATTAGTTGAACCCAGCCTAGGGTCCATCAGGAGAACTTATTTTAGAACAAACAAACATATCCCCAGACCTTTATTATTTAATATGCTACTTAAAATCTCAAATCATGGACTATATGAACTATATCCTGAAATTATGAAAATAGTTAAAGATTTAGAAGGAAAAATAGTATAATGTTATGTGTTATGAAATATTCAATTTTAGCAATTACTTTTGCCTTTCTTTTGCAGTAATAAAGAACTGAGTAGAATATTAAGTATCTTCATTTTATAAAACTCATTTTACTTAGGATGACTTATATTTTTCCTTTTTATTTTAAATCTCTTAAGTCTTTAGGCAAGAAAAGGCATTCACATTTGTGAATTAGATTTTGTAATGTGTAGTGCACTCAGCTGTGGTAGTACGTATGGATTTTTATTAAAAGTACTTTGATAAATAAATTATAAACAATTTTGAGGCCTGAGAATTATACATTTTAATCTAAGTACTTGTAAATTTTAGGGAATAAACATCTTGAAGTGCTGTTACATTTTATAACTTGGTGCTTAATAATTAATTGGAAGTTCTGTGCTATAAAAAAGAAAACTAACCATGAAAATACTATTTTTTTCCTTTGTATTTTCACAATCATTCTTATTATAATGTTTTATGTTACATTTACATGGAAACTTGAAATTACATTTACTAAAAGATCTTGTCACTGATTTTAATAACCAAAAATAGTTTTACTAGTCTTGTTACTATTTTTGTGTCAAAGTGAACTTACTTGCTATCTTTTTGTATCCATTTAGTCTTTTTTGCTTCATTAGCCACAGAAGTGAATTAGTGTTAGTAAAGCCATTTCTCTCCTATATGGGTTCTTTTGTTTGTTTTGAATCCTGGTTCTTCCATGTGTTGACAATGCATGGAAACATACCTGAACTTCATAGTTTTAGATTAATGTAGAGCCAGCCTTCCTTACTTTTTCATCAATTTATCCATAAAAATATTTAATGTTGTTCAAGCATTATTAGAATAATACTGAATAGTATGACAAAATACAAAATAAAAATAAAAAATCAAGGAATACAGACAAAAACTATAAACCTAATATTGTGATTATAGTTCAAAATTGACAGGAACTTCTTGGCAGCAAAAAGAGGAGTAGGGTGACATGTAAGTAGTATCATAATGTTTTTGTTCAGAAGGGAACAAACATTGTACAAACAGCTTTACAGAGTTTGTAATTTGTTATTTAGCTGTACTTTTTGTGAAAACATGCCATAGTGTCATGTCACCTTGTTCTGTTCACAAGTATTCATGTGATAATAGTCTGTCTCTAATATTTTGAATACCTATATCAAAGTTAGATATTTAAAAAATACTTCTAATTACGAACTTTACATAAAATAATATTTTATTAAGTAGCAAAAAAATCTCTGAGCTTTTTCATAGTAGGGGCTGTTGGTAAATCCATTAGCATTTTCCAACTTAAAATATCAAAAGTACAATTAGCACCTTAAAGATTTTATCAGAAAAAAATACTGATATTAAGAAGTTTTCTCTAGAAATTTAGAGAATTGAAACAAAGGAGGAAATGATATAAATGAAAATTCAGTTGGGTGGTTTAAAAATATCATTTTTGTTTATTTGTATTATGCTATGTTATGTTATTTTTTTTTGTGCTTGTCCTAGGGCTTGAACTCAGAGCCTTGGCACTGTCCCTGAGCTTTTGTGTTCAAGGCTAGTGCTTTACTACTTTGAAAAACAACTCCATTTCTAGCTTATAGTAGTTAATTGGAGATAAAAAAAAAAAAAAGACCTCACAGACTTTACTGCCTGAGATGGCTTTTAACGGTGATCCTCAGATCTCAGCCTCCATGTAGCTAGCCTTCTAGCAGCTAGGTACCACTGGCAGCTGGTGTATTTGTTTACAAGTAGTGGTGCACAAGGGTTTCAATTCTACAGGTCACATTATGAGTTCTGCACATCTTGATCAGTTGTGGGTTTTTTTTTGTTTGTTTGATTTTTGGTTTCTGGAGCTTTGGGCACTGTTCCTGAGCTTTGTGCCCAAAGCTAATGCTGTACCACTTGAGCCATATCTTCAGTAGTTAATTGGAGAGAAGAATAGTCTCAAGACATTTCCTGCTGTGGATGCCTTTGAATCATGATCCTCAGATCTCGCTTCCTGAATAGCTAGGATTTCAAGCATGAGCCTGACTCATGGAACAAAGCCAAATATTTCACATATTTTAATCTCAATTTTCTTGATAAAGTATGGGACATAATCATTCACTGTGAGTGAAAAAGTAGAAATCTATGTAGTTGGAATGTAAAAGTATGAAGAATGTAAATTAGTTGACTTCTAATTTGAATCATGAGAGAATCTTCACATTACAGTTTCAAGGTAACCTACTATTCTGTCAGAGCTCTTTCTAAAGATATGTAAAGGAAAATTTACTTAAAGGTAAATTATTAAAATTTAATTGGAATATAGAGTTATGAACTATGTAATAAAAATCAAATAGAAATTTTAGATTTGAAAGTATGTCATAATTATAAAAGACTCTGAGTAGTGAAAAAACTTGAATATAGCTTGGTAGATGTGTTAGAAAAGAGAGATAAAAAAGAAAAAGGAACAGGCCATGGAAATGTTTGGGGCAACTTTGAAAGGTCTCTATACTAAACATAAAGTGAAGGGTCACGAAAAAGTTTGAAAAAGTAATGATATTTGATTGATAAATTCAAAGAACTATGACTATAAGCAAAATTAAATCAAAGAGAGCTTATTTAAGCACACTGTGAAGAGCCAAAATACAACTGCAGAAAACCAGATTAAAAGAGCTTGAAAGCAAGTAATTGATAGAAGAAACATATTTGAGTAACTTACACTTTTCATTATAAAACATGGAAGCCATAGAGGTTTATTCATTTTTTAATATATTTTTATTGTAAAGACACTGTACAGAGGGGTTGTAGTTATATAAGATAATAAGTACATTTCCCTTCCCTCCCCATCTTCCCAACTCCTCTCCTCTCCTCAGCCCCCTCCCCCTCGAGAGTTAGGATTGGATAATTTCATTGTGAACTCTGGCTTTTTCCTTAGTAGTTCAAAATGCCTAGAAGCAAAATCATCATTATTTTCTTAGGATTTTTTTTACACAACTCTATTATTCTGAGAATATTTATTAGATTATTCTTATTCATAGAAGACTAACATAGCCATCAGGAAAGATGCAATACTGTAAGGAGCTTACCTTGAAAAGGAGAAATTTTTAGTGAAAAACATAAAAAAAGTAAAGTTGACTAAGCTTATAATAATGATACAACCTATGAATTCTAAGTCTGATGTTATTACAAAGAGTTGTCATTTTAGGCACTAGGAAATGCTTCTTAGAGAAGGTAACTTTAAAACAAGACGTAAGTTTTAAGATTGTTTGTGTAGCCTTTATGTGATTTTTTTGTGTCCAGTGACTAACAACTCTGCTTCCCTCAATTACATGTAACAAATCCTACTGTGCTTTAAAATTTTTAATGTTTTATTGCTCTCTACTTGGTTTCTTTCTCCTAAAATAATGGAATTTATATTTAAAAAGTAGTAAAAGTAAAAAATAAATTAAGAGAAAGTATTTTAAATACCTACCATCCTGTTACAAACTTTTGTTGGGTTCATTTTAGAAACACTTAACTTGACTTCTGGTTTTGGCTCTGATGTAGTAGCTAATAATAGCTTTGTTTTACAGTCAAAGCTGTGTGTAAAACTGGACAAAATGCATAACATATTTATTTTAGATATTTGTCAAAATACATAGAGCAAGAAAGCAGTTAAGATGTACCCCATATTTATTTTGATTCTCTGGCTATAGCCAAAAAAATTTGAGTAGAAAGGTGTTGGTCATGTAGGTGCTTACGCTGAGTGCATGAGCTTTGGGTCAGAATTAATCAACTAATTATTTAATAAAAGAGTGAGAACTTGTAAAGCATGAACTGTTGTAGTATGAGATCTTTGTGAGAATTCTTTACAGGTCCTTGGGCATGGACCAGTTGATGTGCAAGATGAAGCTCCGTAAGTCCGAGGAGAAAGAAGCTGTTATAATTGGTAGAAGAGATACGCTAGAAATTTCATAATTATTGGAGATTTTAGAGCTTTTGCTCAGTGAGTGTAGCTTTCTGTAATTTACAAGTGCTCTGTAATTATTATAAAGTTGAATGGCAGTAGTAGGACAGAAATTTGAAGATTTTCCTTTATAACAATTTATAATTACTTTTCTAATCAAGTTATTTCTATATATTATGTATCTTATCTTTGCATATATTGGTTGAGTTTGTAGTTTAATTCTCATATGTTATAAACTACTCATATGGGCATTCTTCGATGATACTCCCTAGGAATCTTTGTATTCATAGGATAAGTTTCTTAGAGTCATTTGATATTAGCAAATGAAACTTTAATAAGTATTTGCTTAGTGTCATTATGTTAAATATCTCTTGGATACTGGCTTATGTCACTAGTGAGTTTTTGTTGTTTAATATTTGAAGTATTTCAGTGATTATAGGACTAGCACTTGTACTTGGTATGCTGTAGATTTTAATGTTTTAATAATTTTCTAGTATGTAGAAGTACTGATTCCATTTCATTTAGAGAGATTTTCTTTGGTAATCTGTGTCATTACTGTTAAGGTTATGACTGTAATCTTTATTCTTCTCTACATTTTTGCTTGTAAAGCACTGATAATAATGATTATAGGGCATGCAGTTGAATAAAATTTAGCAATATATTGAATATTGTATTGAAGAAAGTGTTCTAAGCTTTAGGGATTAATAATGATTAAGCACATACTCTTTTTATGAGAATGTAATTACAGATCTAAATATTTATAATTAGAAGTTGATATGTGTACCAGCAAGGAAATATAATGCAAATACTCTTATAGTTTTAAGCTAGGCTGATTAATTCCAGCCACAGAGGATTTAGGAAATCTATAGAGAAGGTTTTTTTTTTCTTTTTTTTTTTTTAGTGTTCTTAGAAGATAAATGGATTTCAGAAGGTAGACTGGAGGTAATGATAGTGTTTGAGAGAGAACATAATTAAAAGGATAGGAACAAGGGAATACAGATTATGTATTTACTAATATGTAGGCATGGCTTACATTCTGCAGACTTTAAAAGCTGCTTCAATGATCTAGTCTTTCAAAATTGCTTAGTATTTTACTTAATTTTTATATTTTTATTGAGTTTTAGTAGTTGTACAAAGGAATAACTATTCAACAAATCACTTTATAAGTACAGTACATCTTAATTGTTTTTTATTTCTTTATCATTCTTTCCCATCCCACTTGACCCTTCCTAGCCCCTCATTTTTCCCAGTTTGATAGGATATGCATTGCATATTATACACATATTTTCTCTAGTCCCCTTTTCAGTCTTCTATCCCTTTCCCTTGTACCTGCTTTCTACCTTTCCGGTGCCAGTTTTCTGGTATTCTGGTATTCATTTTTTGGAATGTGAGTTCTCTTTTCTAGGGAATTATAGTGTTTAAATTCTCCCCATACAAATACTTTATTACATTTGTGTGCACTTGCATACAACTTGGCATATTTATCAATGTAAATATAAGCATTTATATAAATTTTAATGTTCTGCTTTCATATATGAGAGACAATTGTGCCCTTTGTATTTCTGAACCTGACTTACTCCACTTAATGTAATTTTTCCAGAACCATTTCTTTGCAAATGCTGTAATATTATTTCTAATGGGATGAGTAAAATTCCATTGTGTATATGGACCATTCATCCATTCACCCATTGAGGAGGATCTAGACCATATCTTGGGTAGGGAGAATAATGCTGCAGTGCACATGGTTGTGCAACTGGTTTTACTGTATCTTTATTTTTTATTAACAATATTTTGGATAAATGCCTGAGGAAAGAAGAAAGGAAGGAGAAAGAAAGAAAGAACTGAAGAAAGATAAAGAAGGAAAGAAAGAAGTAAAGAAGGAAGGAAGAATGAAAGAAAGAAAGATTTCTCACTGAAGCTAGGGAGCTGTCCCTCAGGTGCTGCTGCTGTTCCTCACCTGGAAATGAATAATTTTTGCCTGGACTTCAGCAAATTTACAGTTTAATGAATCATCTGCCACTGCAGATTCCCAATTTCTTCAAACAAGGCGTAGCTTGCTGGTTCCATGCAGAAGATACTGTGAGGATAGATGAAGAATTACATATTATATCATATGTAATTACATATGATAAAATACACCATTTCTGTGATAATGAGCATTATTGAGTTTAATTGATAGACATAATTAAAATTGAAGGAATGGGGCACCATTTAGCTCGTTCTTGTAAACCTAGTCACTCAGGAGGCTAAGACCTGAGGTAGTTTGAAGCTAACCTAGGCAGGAAGGCCTATGAGACTCTTAGCTCCAATTAACCAGCAAAAAGCTGGAAGTGGAGCTGTGGGTCAAATGGTAGGATCATTAGCCTTGAGCAAAAGTGTTCATGGACAGAAGAGTCTTAAGTCTGAAAGACCCTGAGTCTAAGACCCAAGATTGTTACATGTGCATGCATATGTACACAAACACACACATGTGCACATGCACTCTCTCTCTCAGACACACACACACACACACACACACACACACACACACACACACAGAATCTATTCCATTCTCCTCTTTTAAGGGATCAGAAGGTATAGGTTTGCTTGGAACAGATCAGCAAACACATTCCATCTGGCAGGTAACAGGGTGTGAGGAAGCATTAATAAGTCCTCCTGTCTTTGACATGATCACTGAAATGTAAAACATTCAGAATCCCATGTCTTTACTCAGATACAAGTTAAGCGATTACACAATCAGTAGTTTTATGATGGCATCAGGCATCCTCAATGTCCATGGTCCATTCATACTTTCTGCACTGTCATAGTTCCCACAGAGCCCTAGGGTTTCCACAGATAACAACGGAGTAGAAATAAATGTTCCAAAGCTAAACACTTTCCATACCATGTGAGCTTCCACTCTTAGCTCAGTGGCCTGGTGTCAGTGGCTTATGCTTGTAATCCTAACTGCTCAGGAACTGAGATCTGAGGATCATGGTTTGAAGTCAGCATGGACAAAAAAGTCCATGAGATTCTTATTTCTAATGAAATACCAAAGAGCCAGAAGTGAAGCTATGGGTCATGTAGTAGAGTGCTATCCTTGAGCACAAATGTGCTCAGAGACAGCAGCTGGACCAAAGTTAAGGCTGGGGACCAACAAAACAAGCTAACAAAAGAACAACCCTCCTGGCTCAGGATTGCTATTTTCTGTCACTGGAGGATGGATGATGCCTTCTGTCAGCTTTCACTTTTCCAGGCAAAAGATATCACAGATCCTTAAGATCAGCTTTTAAAAATATTTTAGTATCTCACAAAATTGGAATGTCTCACAAGGTGAAAGTTTTAACAAGGATTTATTTTAGTATAATGGACTAAAGTAGGAAAAAACAAAAAAAGAAAGAAATATTTAAAAGACTCGTAGAGCCTTTATTTTAAACCAGGGCATTTTTAAAACTCAACTGTTAACTCTAGCTTGGAAAGTTTTAATCAATGAGTTAAGAATATCAATTAAAATGTGAAGTTTTGAGTTGAGAGGCCATGTTCTATATTCTACTTAACTGAGTAGAGAATAAAAGATCTTTTCCAAATAGGACAATTTTTTATTTTTAATATAAATACTATTTTTATGAATTTTAATTATGCTTTTGTCCTGGTGCAATTCCTAATAATTAATGGTTTGCATCTAAATTTATGTTAACAATACATTCTAGAATCCAGTCAAGTAGGAAACTGCCTGAACCTGGCCTGACATATGTGATCCACAGTATTTTCAGGTATTTGAATTAAATATAAAAACTTAGTGATTTTATTTTGTAACAGCTGACTTTCTATTTTCTCTTTAAAGTTTTGGAAGAATTGTCAGTATGGCATAATAATTGAATTGAGCAGAGTAGTAGGGGTTTCTTTCAGGTAAACTATGCTGTCTAGTGAAGGAGATCTCCAACCTGACCTACTTCACTTACATGCTTATCAATTTGCTTTCTATAAGATAGTGAGTGTGAAACATTTGAATTATCATTATTATAACATTAGAATGAGGAAATGGGAGCCATGTTACTTAAATGACTTAGAAGACAATTAGTGGCAGAGGCAGGATTATAACTCATGACTTCGTTATCAACTCATTGAACACTGACTCTGTGACAAAAGATTGGTAATTGTGCCCTAGTTTGCTTCTTCCTATATCTTCATTTCTATAACACCGATTTTCACAGTTGTGAAACTAACTTCATGGGATATTACAAAGATTGGATACGATTTTTCATTGTCAGATTCATAGCTGTGAGCAAATTAAACTACTGCCAACAATGCTTTCCTTTAATGCAGTTCAAATATCTTTTGTTTTTGTCATTATATAAAATAGTACCATGTAAAAAATAAAATATTAACTTGTTTTGTTGAACTCTTGTGATTTTAACATGGCTATTGTGACACTGTTAAATAGCACTGGTATTCAATGTTTTTTTTAAGTTAAGAAACAAAATATTTTTACATATCAACCTTTTTTTGGGGGGGAGGTCCGGTCATGGGGCCTAAACTCTGGGCCTAGATGCTGTCCCTCAGCTCTTCAGCTCAAGGCTAGCGCTCTACCACTTGAGCCATTGCACCACTTCCAGCTTTTTTCTTTTTGCTTATGTAGTGCTGAGGAATCGAACCCAGGGCCTCATGCATGCAAGGCAAGCGCCCTACCACTGAGCAACCTTCCCAGCCCATATCAACCTTTTTTAGTATAAACTGCTAATTGATTTCTGTGTTAAGAAAGTCATTTGTCAGGTTCTGTTCACCTTTGTGAATATCTTTAAAGTGGCTAAGAAGAAAAATTTGTGAAGCTTAAATAATTTCCAACTAGTGTCTGCATTTTTCTAATACACTTATTTTTCACATAATCAAAAATTACAGAATAAGAATATGAAGATCTGAATGTTCTTGTTTGTATAATTAAATCAAACTCTTTGAGAACTTAAGTGAAAATAATGAAATAGTAATGAATCTGGCCCTGTGCCAGACACAAGTAAGGTGCATAACAAATTGTTGATTATTTTAGCTCTCTTTCTGTCTTAAAAATGCACATTTTGCCATGTTAAGCTTTCTTTTTAAAGTATTTAGTTTTATTTTTTTTCAGAGTACCTTCAAGTTTAAGTCTGAGAGTGATATTCATTTGGCAGAACACCATAAACAAGTTCTTTATGATGGGAAGCTTGCAAGTAGTATTGCCTTTACATATAATGCTAAGGCCACTGATGCTCAGCTATGCCTGGAATCATCACCGAAGGAAAATGCATCAATTTTTGTGCATTCCCCACATGCTCTAATGCTCCAGGTGAGAAATTGTAGCTTGTTTTCCATGTTTTTAATCCTCATTGATAGTATTTTTATTTGATACATTGAATATTGCTCATCTATAGAAACATCATCACTCTTTATAAAATGAATTCTTTTTTGTTATCTTTTTGGCATTAGTGGGGTTTGAATTAAGAACCTTGTGCTTGCTGGACATGTGTGCTACTACCTCTTGAGCCATGCACTCAGCTCTTTTTTGTTAGTGTCATTTTTGGGGTCAGGTCTTTGCATTTTCTGCCCATAACTTGCTTTGGAATACTATCCTATCTATGTATCCCACATAGCTCAGATTACCCCAAGTTCCACCACATCTGGCTTGTTTTTGAGATGGAACTTTATATGGGCTGGCCTTGAATTACAATCCTCTAGATCGCCTGCTTCCCAAATGGCTGTAATGACACGCATGAAATAGTGTGTTCAGCTTGTTTTTGAGTTCTTTAGTCCCAGTTTTTCTTTCAAATATTTTTTCTGACATAATATATTACCTGGGGATTGTTGCTATACTAGGAAATCTATTCCATTATCTTGTTTTCCCATGTCGAATGAAATAAAATCTACTGATTAAATGAACATAGTTTTTAAATACCAACATATAATTTAAGAATATATAATATTAAATTTATCTTAAAACTAGTATAAAAGTTTACCTTAATGCCTTTAAATGAATTATTTATATTACTTTAAAAAGAATTTGTTTTTAACTTCAGTGTAAGCATCTCCCCAGATTTCAAATTTAAAAGTAATTATCACGGAGGTGGCTGGGGAGGGATGGGAAGAGATGGGAAGGGGAAACAGAGGAGGAGGCAACAATGCTTGATAAGAAATGTACTCATTACCCTATCCATGTAATTGTAACCCCTCTGTACGGTATTATCTTTCTTTCTTTTTTTTTTGTCCGTTCGTGGGGCCTGAACTCTGGGCCTGGGCGTTGTCCCTCAGCTCTTCAGCTCAAGGCTAGTGCTCTACCACTTGAGCCATACCGCCACTTCCGGCTTTTTTCTTTTTGCTTATTGGGTGCTGAGGAATTGAACCCAGGGCCTCATGCATGCAAGGCAAGCATTTTACCACTGAGCCACCTTCCCAGCCCCATTTGTATGGTATTTTCACAATAAAATTTTTTTTAAATACCTCAAGTTTATATTTTATATGTATATATCTTTCAAAATTATACCATTGAGAGCTCTTTTTTTAAAATTTATTTTATTTGTGAACATACTGTACAGAGGGGTCACAATCACATGGGCAGGATAATGCGTACATTTCTTACCAAGCATTGCAGCCTCCTCCTTTGTTTGCCCTTCACATCCCTTCCCAGCCTCCCCCCTCCCCCCCCAGTCCCAAGCCTCCCGCCCCCCACCAACATTGTAAAGCTCTTTTTTGACATGACAACTTGTACTTCTCATTGCTGCAACAGTTCCACCTGTATCCTTAAACGACTTGTTTTTCCCCATCTCCTCCACAAGTTATACTGACATCAAATATAGTGAAAGCAGGGGTTATACTGTGGGGGAGGGACATACAAAGCAACAAAGAAATAATTTTATAAATGCGTTAGAAACACATGCATGAAAGAAAAAAACATTAAAATACATATCTAAGGGTTCATTTTCCTAACATCACATTATCTGACCTTTTCCGCTTGACTCATACATATACTAGATATTGCAAATAAGGGAAACCATGGGGCCTATGTTTCTTTGGGCCTGGCTTACCTCACTTAATATAATTTTTTCCAAGTCTTTCCATTTCCTAACAAATGGGGCAATGTCATTCTTTCTGATGGAGGCATAGAATTCCATTGTGTATATATACCACATTTTCTTGATCCATTCATCTACTGAGGGGCATCTGGGTTGGTTCCATATCTTAGCTATGGTAAATAATGCTGCAATAACATAGTTGTGCTAGTAGCTTTAGTGTGATCCTGTTTGTAAACATTTGGGTAAATGCCCAAAAGTGGGATTGCTGGGTCATAGGGGAGTTCTATGTGGAGTCTTTTGAGGAACCTCCATACTGCTTTCCAAAGTGGTTGGACAAGTTTACATTCCCACCAACAATGAAGTAAGGTTCCTTTCTGTCCACATCCCCTCCAGCATCTGTTGTTGAGAGCTCTTAAATATTAATGTTTATTACTCATATAGCTATTTAGGAAAGATAAATAGTGATGAAAACATGCTATAAATTTAATAAACATTTTTCTGTCTGAATTTAGGATGTGAAGGCTATAGTAACACATTCAATTCATAGTGCAATTCATTCAATTGGAGGGATTCAAGTGCTTTTTCCACTTTTTGCTCAACTGGACAATCGGCAGCTCAATGACAGTCAAGTGGAAACAACTGTCTGGTAAGTTTTCTTTCAATGTATAATATCTGGTGTTATCTACACATTTAGATCAAGTATGGCATACTCAGTGCTGTGTAATATAGTACAGCATTTGAGTTCTGTCTCGATATGGTTAATAAAAATGTTTTTAGAATAAGAGAGGTATTTATACAATATAAAAAAAACTCTGGCACTTAAAGTCTTATTTCCATAAAAAATTCTTTTCTTGACAGTAAATAAAAACATTTCTAGGTATAGCATAGTGATTATAACATGCAATTGAAAATTCTTAATTCTGACCTTATCCTTTGCAAATGTTCATACTTTTCCCTGTCACACAATAAGAAATTACTATGTTAAGGTTTATTTATACAAAACTACTTAATAACAGTTACATAATTTGTATCTTGAAGTCTTGTTTTACAGTAAGATTAGCACTAATTGGCATCATTTTTTTCTTTAAATGTAGTTCAATTTTTGAGGAACCAAGCAAAACCTGTAGCCTGTGAATGTATAAAATTGAAATATCTCTTACTGAATTTTAATTCATATACACTTTTTATAATTCATGCATCATATTTAGATTTAGTGTCATGCCCTAGAATAATATATGAGGTTAAATACTAATTTCAGATTCATATTGGCTCTATATTGCATTTTCAAGTACAAGCTATATTGACAAACTTGAATTTTCAATTCAAAACCAGTACAGAAATATTATAAATATATGTAAGATTGTTCATAGACCATCCAATTTTGAATTGATGAAAAATTAGTAAATAATCCTGTGTAAAAATTCAAGCACAATGAAATATAATACAGGATTTTCTCATATTAACTGAATTAGTGCTAATAACATTGTTTTTAGTATTGCTAATAATATTGTTCTTGTATTGGGACTATCTTTGTGTGAAGTATATATTTAAATATGAATGTGATCTTGCTTTTACAGCATTCAGCTTCCATCTATCTATAGGTCATGTCTTGTGTCTTATCAGTTGTAGTGCATGGCTATTATTTTGAAAGTCTAAAGTTTTGAAATGAAAAGCTATCCTGGTTTCTTTTTCCTCTTATACCTCTTTACCATTAGATTTTAAAACAATTTATGGTTAAGTAATTTTATTGAGAGGAAGAACAGTATAGGGAATTCTAGTCCTGCACTAATTTCCAAACGTTTTTGTTATTTATTATCTTAGTAACCAGGGGAAATTATGATCAGTAATTTAAAATTTCTTAACTAATAGTAAACAGAAGTTGAAGAAAACTCCATGTAACTTAAACATTTTTATAAATGAATAAGAAATATATAATTTTTAAACTTGAGATATATTTTGTCACTTAGTAAAGAGACGAGTTGCAAAGGTTATGCAATGTGAAATATTATGACTCAAATTTTCACAATAATTTAATCTTTTTGCATATCTTATTAGAAGTGTTAGGCCTAAAACTGTATTTGACAATTTATCTGTCCCATTCATTCAAGACATATACAATTTTTTACTACCTTACTTCAAAACTTATTGTAGTATATATACTATATTTCAATATTATAATTTTATTCATCATCCAGTAGATAAAGAAATGGTGTAAGAAGTCAATATACTGATTTTTTACTTTGATTTATTTTCCTAAGGACTTTTTAGATCACTCACATTAATTTTTCCCTATAATTATTCAGTCTTTTAAAATGATGTATATTATGTAATTAGTTTGTAGCTTATAGAAAATAGAAAAGATAGTATTCTTTATTAATAATATCTACCTAGTTCTAAACTACACTGTAATTCACTTCTGTTCTATTTGAAATTCTTTTCTACTATTTTTTCACTGCTTGTTTCAAAGTTCTTGCTCTTCTGTGAATAAAATTGTAAAGAAAATCAATGCAGTCTCTTATTATTTAGAGTCTTGAAAGAGACCAGAATAAGTGTACATACATCAGTGATAGAACCATTCATATTTTAAAATGATATAACCAAGTTATTTATGGTTTTTTCTCTGTTTGAATAATAAAGATTCATAACTATGAATGGAATTGTAGGATTTCAGATTTTATGCTTATATCATCTGTTTACAAAGATGAATGAGACTTTGTGGTAGGATGTATCATCCTATTTTTAGTCCATATTAAATTCTTGCAGATGAATCAGAATCACTTCAAGATTTTAAGTCTTGCACAGAAAAGTCAGTATATATTTTTTGGAAACCAGTTAACATGGTATGACAAAATTTACACGTGTCTACTTTTCAATTACCTTTTGGAGAAAATCAGCAATCTCTGTCTCTCTCTCTTTCTCTCTCTCTCTCTTTCTCTCTTCGTCTCCCTCTCCCTCTCTCCTTCTCTCTCTCTCTCGTTCGCTCTCTCTCTCTCTCTCTCTCTCTCTCTCTCTCTCTCTCTCTCTCACACACACACACACACACACATTTGGCTTCTGAATTTCAAGATGAAGCAGTCCCTTCATGTGAACTTGTTCACTGTTGCCTTATACCTTAGCTCCTTGGCACTATGGAACTATGTAGTTTTACTTTGATGAGTTTATAGAAATTAAAATATTTCATTTAGGGAGCCTGTAAAGATGGGGTTTGTGTCAGAATATTTTTGTAGCTTTTATTACGGATGCTATATTATTGTAGTTGTTACTTCGTATGTGGATTTTCAAGACAAACTTTGAGCTTAATATTGATTATTAGTACAATTTTAAATGTGTTATTATTTTGAGTATGTTATATCTATCATTATTAAGTCATAATAGTTTGTACTCAAGATTATTTAGACTACATGTAACCAATTAATAAACCATATTAATCACATGTAAGAATTACTCAATACATTCTTGTCTTAGCCATTATGATGACAGTGAGCACATTGTTGTCTCTAATGTTGTAATTTTATATTTAAAATACTCAATGTCACAAATTCTAAAGAAATTAATTACAATTGGAACTCATATTACTCTATATGATTTTCCTTTAACTTACAATACTATTTGCATTAGAGAATTACTTAAGAAATTAGCTAGAATTTGCCTTGTTGATTTCAATTTTGATGAAAATTGGTTTTGAGTAATTTGTCCATTTTCTAGATGTTGTGATTTAAGATTGACACATGTCTTAATTCCAATTATAGATGACAGCAGCAAGTCAGGGGAACTGAAAAGTTTCTGTTTAGCTGGACATTAGGCTTAACTTCCCCTGTAGTACTTAAATTTCCATGAATAATACTGTATATTGACTTAGAAAAATAGTTAAACTTTTATTATGTTACAAAACATTATTAGTAACAAATTATTAATAAATACTATTTAACTAGGTCAGGTAGCTTGTGACAAAAAAAGCTTCTGAAATTATATGTTTTTCAATAAGTAAATTAAGTATGTTTGTACATCATCCTATATATATACATATATATCTTATATTCTCAGTAATTTTTCCTGAATAATTTTCTAAAGTGATCAAGGCTATTTGGACTAATATTGGGGGGACTAATATTGATTGATTCCTCTCAGTGCAGTGAGTTTGAGTACAAAAATCAAAGATTTCCTTTAGCTAGATATTTGATATTTAATAGCTAAAGTTGATCAAACAATTAACAGAATAATTCAAAGAGCTTAAGTCCAATCCTGAAATAATGATCGTCATTTACATTTTGTCTGAAATTTAGTAAATGAAACTGAAACTTCATTTTTCTGTGAATTAGATGATCATTTACATTAGTTGCAAATGGTCTATTCTTTTAAAAATGATCTACTTTTAAAAGATTAATTAGTGCAATCAATTTATAGGCAATACAAAACAAGACAACTGTCCTTCTGTGACTTAGAGAAGCTTTTCTTTGAAAAAGTATCTTTTCTTGAACCAAATATGGTTTGATTTTTGTAATTCAAACAAAATGACACTTGGAGAACTTCTTAGATAATGTGTAGTACACTGGGCAAGTGTTCTTTGGTTAAAACCCTGTTATAGTATATAGTGTCTGAATGTGATGCGATGGTGATGTCCACGGGTTTGTAGAGGTAGAACAAAATAGTTATTCAGTACATGATATCATGTCTATGTTTCATTTCAAAGATAGTTTCATTATCAATTTAGTAAAGTTTTTTAAAGACAAATAGCTACATTACATTCAATGCCAAGAGAACATTCTGAAAAAAATACAAGGGTAATAAAAAGAAATAACATTTGATAACATGGTAGCAATATTTTAAGTATTTTGTTAATGAAATCACTATATTATTCTGATAATGAGGAAGAAAGAAATAGAATTACTCCTCAAGATCACCTCTTAAGGCGTGGCTGACTCCAGAGTCCTCAGTCTAAACTACAATGGAATACTTAAGAATTATTATATTTGTGGTAATATTCTCACACAAATTAATTACAACTCATAATTTAAGTGAATATTTGTAAATATGTGTTTTCCTAGGAAAATTTTATTTTTAATTATAAATGAAAGTTTGATAGACTAATAAGATCAATTTAGAGAATCTCATATTAAAACATTCTCTTGCAAAACTTAATGACTTGTTAATTTACTTAGTGAACTTAAGTCATAATTTTTTTCAACACTATCTTGGCTAACTAAAATTAATATAATAATTAATTCTAATTTTTAGAGTGAAAATGATCAAGCAGCCCCATTAGTTAAATGCTATATGTGGAGTCATAATTAGCTCTATTGTCATAAAACATAAAAAACTAGAAAGTTTAATATTTCAGTGTTTAGCTATTTTAACAATATTTCCTCAGACTCTTAGATGTGGTATATAAATTTTTTGACTAACCATACTCTCTGAATTTTAATTCAGATAAACATATCCATTGTACATAGATTATTTAAATTTCATTATATATTTTTAATTCCCTTCATTTAGAGTTTATATTTACTGTGCAAAATAAGTGAAACAATATCTTATTTTCTCATGAACATTATTTATTTTATACAATATATACAATATATAATTAATAATCATTAAATTGTTAATGATTTGGTTTAAAATAATTTCATAAATTTTGTAAAGATTTAT